TATCCCTCTTCTATCCGCCTCCCACTCTCTCCCTATTTATTTCAAAACCCCCTTTTCTGATGAAGGGTCTCGGCCCGAAACGTCAGCGTCTCTGCTCCTATGATGCTGCTTGGCCTGCTGTGTTCATCCAGCCCTGCACCTTGTTGTCTCAGATTCTCCAGCATCTGCAGTTCCTACTATCTTTTCTCTTGCTGAAGGGGTTTTCACTTAGAACAACTTTTACTTTAATTTGTCTCCCCTCCAAGTCATGGTTGTCTCTATGGCTACCCACCTGGGTCTCAGTTATGCTCATCCCTTTATGGTGTATGTGGAATATTCATTGCTTCAGTCCTACTGAGACTCCCACCCTCAACTCTCTCTCTGATAAATTGATGTTGTTGTCGATGCTGCTTCCTGCTCATGACGAATTGGAAAAATTAAAAATCAGTTTTGCTTCCCAATTTCTATTCTTCTTCCACTGAAAACTGGCCCATCTTGGACTCTTGCCTCTGCATGACTATATTGTTTCCATTTCTGGGGATAGGTAGTCTACCAATCTCCATTATAAACCCACTGAATCCCTCAGTTACCTTGACTACATTTCTTCACACCCCACGTTCAACAATCACTCCATTCCACTCTCCCAGTTTCTCACACTCTGGAACAAATACAACAATGATCCCTCCAACATGTCCTTTTTTCCACCCCCCCAACCAAAGATGCCCCCGCTATTATGTATGAGAAGGCCCTCAGCTGTGTCCAACCCTGTTCCCACACTTCCTCCCTACAAGAACAATTACTGGGTTCCCCTCATTCTCAGCTTCCACCCCATCTGTCACTATATTCAACAGAATCATCCTTTGCCATTTTTACCACATCCAGCAGGGTTCCAGCACCAAACACAAAAAGGATTGAAAATGTTAGTAAAAAGGACAGACAGAAAAAAGTAAAATACCTCCACGGTAAGCATTGTGCAGTTACCACGCTCTCAGTGACACGCTGGTCTACATTTCATCACCAAATACTTCCTCATCACCTCTGGGCACCTTCCTATGTAATTGCAAAGGCCATTTCACCTTCTCGCTCACATATTCTCCAGTCCCAGGAAGGCCTCCAGATGAAGCAGCAGTTTGCTGGTACTTCCTTCAATCCATTCTACTGTATTCACCGCTCACAACGTGGTCTCCGTTACATTAGTGAGACCAAATGCAGATGGAGTGACTACTTTGCAGAACATTTCCGTTATGTCCATAAGAATGCCCCAACAATAAAATCAGCTTTCTCCCATGTTAACATTTCCACCTTGGCTTGGTGTAGTGTTCCAATGAAGCTTAATGCAAGCTGGGAGAACAAAACCATGTGTTCCACTCATTCAGGCCTCAATATTGTGTTCAACAACTTCAAAAGCTACTTTATATCTCCATTTCTCCTTCACTACCATTGGCACTGTGTTTTGCTCTGGACACCCTCAGCATCTATTCTGTTCACTGCTTCTCACCTTTTCTCACCAACCCCTTTTCAGTTCTGAAGAAGAGAATTATCAAACTAAAAAGAGAGTGTTAAATTACTTCCATCCTCCACAGATGTTGCTAGACCTGCTAAATTTCTCCAGGTTTTTGATTTTATTACTCATTTAATTTTGCTGATTGCAGCTTTGCAGGCACCCAGCCACACATCAACAATGTTGCAGATGATGAACTATGTTTAACCACCAGTTAAACCCAGAAAGGTCATCAGAAAGAGGAGACATTTAATCCTTGGTGTCTGCTGGCTTAGTACCAAGGAAAAATTGCTTCTGCGAGCTTCTATAAAAAGGAATGACACTAGAGAAGCATTGATGTCCAACATACCATATTCTTCTTTTAATGTTCCTAACCAATTCCTGTAGGAGGAGAGAGTTGGGTCATACAGTAGATTTAGTACTGGACGGCATAAAGAGGGATGTCACAGCCTCAAATTTGTACCATGACAAGTAGTACGTGCAATAAATCGGTCAATAATAAAACATGGCCAACAAGATTTTCAGCAAAGGGAATCTGTCACATTTACCTGGTCTAGGCTAGAAATGCAAATCCAATTCCACAATATAGAAATGACAGCCAACGTCATTCAGCGGTATAATAATTACTGTAGAACAAAAGATAAATACTGGATGGATCTCACTAGTAGCAACCCAAGTACTGATCAAAACACAACTCTAACAATCTGTTCATTGACATCTGAAAACTGATGTGCAAGTTCAGACTAAATCAACAGCCTTATTGCCAAGGTCAATGCAAGGGTCATAGAGGTGGTGTTCTCCTCCTCCAGTTGTAGGATTTAACAAGTTGAGGACAATGTTATAAAGATCAGTAGGAACCCCCAATATACCAATTACAGCAGGCCACTGGAACCTCCTGCTGCCCAGGGACTTGTAATCAATCCAGCCCCCTGGATCCATACTCAATGTTAAATAGCAGTTCGAGAAAGCAAGTTAGTTGGTAGCTGCTGATGTTTATGTGATATTGTCATTGCAGGTGATCCCAATTATAGGGTTGTTAGGTTCTTTCAAAATGATTCTGTTGAATTGTTCAGAGACAGCAAGAATTGCAGATGCTGGAGTCAGCGTCAACATAGCAGGTCAGGCAGCATCAGAGGAGCAGGAAAGTCGACGTTTTGGGTCGAGACTCTCTCTCAGAATTCCAACATACTCTTGGCTTGTACCTCGTACGTAGTCAAGAGGTTTTTGGAGACCAACACATGAGACTTGCACCAGAAATACCCATCCTCTACCCAGTCTTGAAGCCATAATAATGTGGATAGCCTGATCTGAACTGCCTTCATGATCCAGAGTAAAATAGGGAATTTTAAGCTCAAAAACTTAATTGGATTTTGATACTTTTGGTTCAACTTATAAAAGAGTTACATGTTTGGCCTGTGGAGAAACTGAATTTTAATGTTGAGAGAGCAAGAGAGCCCCAGATAATAGATTCAATCTTGCTTTTAGCTGAATTGCATCGTATAGTAAACTAAACATAGGCTAAAACAGTATTGTAATACATGCTGTTAGGTTTAAAGGCTTGTGCTTAACCCTGTTAAAAAGTAACATTAATAAAAACAAAATGGCCAGAGAGCAGTACTTGAAAAATCAAAATATCTACCACTCAATAATCTTTGAATCAAATAAAATAATCTTAACTTTGCTAGATTTTTTGGAAGAAATTCTGCCCTATAAATTTCACACTACACTACAGCTATGGTCCCAGTGGTGTATTTTGTGTTGTTGGTTGCAAGCTGAACGCAAAACTAAAATGATGCCCCAAATTTGATTGCTAGGTACAAAACCACCAGCAAGTTGCAGCATTTTACTTCAAGTATGGAACTAGTTGTACCACACCCACACATTTGGCAATTGGCTGCAGTCATTATCTTCAAACTAATGAGAGACAAATCATCTCTAACATTTAATTTTTCGACCAAAAATATCACCTCATCATTACAAGATTGTGGGTAATATATATTCTTAAAGGAATGGATACACTTAACATTTCAATTATTTATTATTTCATACCACCTGAAGAAAACATTAACTTTCAAAGCTGAAAATATGAATTTGGTCATTTTGACTTGGAGTGCAATGCTCAGTTAAACACTTACAATTTTACATGTAATCACTGGATGATGACAAAGTAGAAATAGTACCTTAAAAAGACAGTTCTTCTGTGAAAAGAAATGCATTTCCATCTTAAACACAGTATTGCTTAAACTGAAAACAATTTCTAGACCACTGCCCTCCTGATTTATAACTTACTTTGCAATTGAGAACAAAATCAGAGAAATGTTCACTTAAGTTCTACTGCACTTTCAAATTAGAAATTTTTAACATTAAAAAGTCTGATTTTATTTTGAAAGTGATTGGAGCAAACAAATAGGTAGTACATTCACTAAGCAACATTGTGAGCTGCATCTATACACTCAAATTAACTGCATGTGAAAAGCTGAGATCAATATTGACAAAGCCAACTGGTCAAATCTTTAAGATAAAAGATCTCCAATCTGGTCCCACCTGAATTATAATACAGATGGATGAATACATTTTCATGCCCATCATCCCAGCTTATTAAAATATAGCAACTTTACTTACCTTTGAGGAGGAAGATCAATTTGCTTCATCTGAAAGTTGCTATTCATGACTATTTCATGAGCCAGAGTCATATTTGACAACCCTTTTGCAGTCTCCATCAGGACATCAAAAGAAACCATTTTAGGAGGACTTGCTGCAGTGACAAAAAGAAACCTTTAACAATCTAGACTCACGAAAATCTTCAGTTGCATATTTCAACTATTTGTATTTACCACTTGGAGGAAAACACATCTGACTCCAGTTAGCATTTATAATTTAACATTTGCCTATAAACCTGGTAATGAGGAAAGTGTGGGAACACACATCAGACATGTAAACAAAATTCAAAATTATTGTTTTTCTCCTTACAGAAGCACATTCTAACATTTTTCTGCCTTGTGGAAACATATCCAAGAATTGATTTCACAAATCCACAGATCAATCTTTATTCTTCCCATGTTCCTCAGCTTCTCAAAATTCCATTTTTACTCACTAAATCAATTACATTTTTAGATTTATGACCAAATGCTCAATTACCCTATCTAATGCAGTGTACCACGAGGTGAGATAGTACAGCAAGTTAAAAAGATATCATTTTGTTATTTTTGGAACAGGTATCTGAATCCCACACAAATGGGTGGATCTACTGACTTTAAGGCTCCCAAGTTACATGAATATTAGGAAGTAACTCTGTTCCTGACTGCCAGCTATCCATGTCAGAAGACTGGTCTCAATTACATAAACAGAATACTATTCCAAAAGACAATAAAGGCCTCATTGATAGTAGAAACAAATATCCCAGCAGCAAAGTATAAGATGCTCGTGAAGTTAAGATTACGGCATCCTCAGCTGAAATAAAACGCACTTCATTTTTTAAAAAAAGTCTGAATTACACTGAAAAGATGCAAGATTTGGAGGTTTCAATATCTCCAAACCCCCAGCCTCATCCCATGACCAACCCTCCCTCTCATCCCCGCCTCCTTGACCTGACACAACCTGTCCATCTTCTCTCCCATCTATCCGCCCCTCCCATCTCACTGATCAATCCCCACCACTGCCTACATACACACACCTATCATCATCCCACCTACCTTCCCCAGCCCCCCCCCTCGTCTCTCTATTTATTTCTGAGCTCCCCTCCCCCTCCCCATTTCTGCAGAAGGGTCCTGACCCGAAACGTGAGCTTTCCTGCTCCTCTGATGCTGCCTGGCCTGCTGTGTTCCTCCAGCTCCACACTGTGTTATCCAAGATTTGGATGCTCCTCACTGTGAACAGAAGGAGAAATTATCCACTCAAGAGACTGGACACAATCAAACATTCAAACTTTGACTCCAGATTCAAAAGGTCTGCCTTTTATCTCAGCTCAGAATGCCTTAATTTTAACATCACAAGAGCATCCTATACTGTATATACCTCTGGGATCACAAAGAAGTAGTATTTTAAATGAGAAGGATTAGCCCTGACTTCTGAACCTTTTCCCTCATTCTGTTGCATCCTGCCTTGGAATTATTCATTCCTCCACTGCTTTAATCTCCATAATTTTAATGGCTCGGGCATTTAATATTCTGACAATAGTGTCAAAGTCCAAACAAATTACTGTATATTGAATGAAAAGGTAATCTGAAATTAAAATCCTCTTTGATTTCCGATTTAGCACAAGTCTGATCACCGATCATATTCCCAAATTAACAGTACAGAACAGGCAATTCTCTTCATATCTAGTAAGAAATTACAGCAGCCCTTGGTATTTGTGGGGCCTCTGCAGCATTTTACCCCAACTGCTATTTAAATGCAGATGTCCACAGGAGAACACAACCATTAGGTCCCAATAAAAAAAAAATTCCATTTTGTTTTACACTTGTATGTGCACTTTTGAAAAAATATGCCTGGCTACTATCCGAATCAATGATATGGTGGATGACATTAACCACATGCATGAGGTCTTTCAAAATGCACTGCTGTAAAGTAACTACCATCACAGGGATCTTATGGTCCAGTGATTGTGTCCCTACTTCTGGACCAGGAAACCCCAGGTTCAAGGTCCACTGCTCTAGAGATGTGTAATAACATCTGTAAAAGATTGATAGAATTTTTTTTTAAAATGGACCTCCCCTTTAAGGGTCAAGAGGGAATTAAATCACTTTAGACAGACTCAGAAATACTGGGTTATCTTTAGTATGAGAATTTCATAACAATGGCCTTCAGCCAGTAATATTGGTCATTGAAATCTGAATACTGTTCAGTGGCAAACATTTATAACCTTGAAATAAGAAACAGAAAATGCTCAACATGTCAGGAAGCACCTGTGGAGGGAAAAACAGAGTTAAATGTTTCAGGTCAATGGCCTTTCATTGTTCACGTGTTCCTCTTGCCATAGGTGCTGTTTGATGTACCGAGTACTTCCAGCATTTTCTGTTGTCAATCTGATTTTCAGCATCAGCGGTATTTTGCTTTTGCATTCAGCTTCTTGGTTTAGCTGCCTATACTGGGATAAGTAAGTGGTGAGAATTGCAGAAGGTAACAGATAAAGGTTACCTTTAGCAATCTCACTGTTTCCTTAATCCACATGAATTCTTATGACACTGGTTGGCATTTTGGAGAAGAAATTCTTCAGACTTCACCACCGTTTAAAATATATAGACTAATTGATGCAAATGGTGTAGCCCAATGGCTAGAATGTACAAACATGCAATCCATCCTGGGTTCTTTTGCACTCATGTGGATACACTGTCTTAATCTTATACTAAAAGACTATAGTCCGTAAGAAAGAAGAACAGGAGTAGGTGGCCAACACCTCAAGTCTGCTGCACCATTCAGTAGAATCATTGCTGATCTGACATTCCTCCCAACCGCTTTCCTGCCTTTTTCCAGTAACCCTAGATACTTGATCAGTAGAGGAAATCAATCTATCTCAGCTTTAAATATACACAAGGATTCTGCCCCTACAGCTCTCTGTGATAAGGAGTTTCAAAGTCTCTCAACCCTCAGAGGAAACTCCTCTTTATCTCAGTCTTAAATTGGTACCCCTTTATTCTGAGACTATGTCCTCTGGTCCTAGACTCTCCCATGAGGGGAAACATCCTCTTAGCATTTACCTTGTGAAGCCCCTTAAGCATCCTTTATTTTTCCAAATAAATCACCTCACATTTTTCTAAACTGCAGTGAGCCAAGTCCTGACCTGTTTAGCCTTGTATATTTAAATAAAAACTTGGTAAATGGACACCAACTACTTATTACTGAAGGCAAACATTAGGTGCTTCTTGCACGGTAAATTAACACAATTTTGCATTTAACCAAACCATCACAGAATACATTTTGCAAATTCTTTAAAATGCTGGGCTCAAAGACGTACAGGCTGGAGAGCTGGGTTTGCTAGAAGAATCACTACTGAAACTTTGTCGAGCGTATTCATAATCACTGGAAGAATTGACACTATCTGACCGCTCACAAGAGTCAGTGTCACTGTTCAATGATTCATCATTCAAGGAATGTTTCTCATTACTGAAAGGCATCTCCTCACTGCAAAAAAAAAAGAGCTAACATAGAAATTTGTTATTTAAAAAATACTGTTCATTGGTGATTTGGATTCATCTTTAACACTTTTAATTGGGATTTTGTAAATTAACTTGGAAGAAATGATAAGCATTTGAAATAATACAGATGAACTTAACAATAGAGTGGTAGGATAAACAAAAATGCTAAGTGTTATTTGGTCCTCAGTTAAAATATTAGCAATCCCTTACCCAATACAACAGAGTTAGTAGACTTTTAAAATCTAAACTAATTAAAGTGTGAATAGACTTGACTAGTGTACAAGCAATAAGTGTGAAATATAGCAGAAGTCTGATCAATCCTACCAGGTCAAAGAAGGGCAAATAAATTATACTTTTCTTGATAAAACAAAATTTTAAAAAATAAATTGACTTTCCAAGGTAGGGCAGAAAACAAAACATTTCTTAGTGCAACATTACAGGAACTGTAGCAATCCACCAATACAGTGTTTGGGTCAGTTAATGACAGTTATAACTGCTAGTGTGCTAGTGACTCATACCAGGAACAAATAGAAAATAAACCTTATCTCCCCATCTATTAATTTTTATTTACAGCACTGCACATACATGTGATCCGTTGCTCCCTCCCCTACCCCATCCCATGACTTTCAATTTTTCCTCATCTTTGAATAGCAGTCCTAGCTAATTTTAATTTTAGAAGCTACAATCTGATAATTTAGAAGAAAAAAAAACTTGGTGACAATGCGACTGCAGCAGTGAAGGTATTCTCACTCCTGCCATTTGATAGTTTCAGCCTATATTTCAGCCATGCACTCCCCTCCCATTTCATTCCAGTATACAACAGTCAGAACTTTATTGATACTTGCGTGTTTGCTTCTTAGATACACATATTAGAAGGGAATAATAAAGGCTTATTAACAGTATGATTCGAGCATCACTGCATTTTTCCCCTCCACAATAGGCCTATGGCAGCTGTTGTTTGTCTCAGTTTAGACGATTACAAATGGGACCAATGTCAGAACTGAAGGGAGATCCAAAACACATTTAATAGGAAAGCACATGGTGAACAGGTGAAAGCATGGATTTGTCACTATCCATATTCTTCATTACAACTTTGGCCCAGATCCAAGGACCTGCCAATCACTTAAAACCTTTTCTTTTTGAAAAGTACACAAAAGAACCAACTGTGACAAGATTTTTTAAAGGCAGCAAGCGGCTAGGTTTGGAATGCACTGCATGTGTGTGGCAAAGACAAATTTAATTGTGGCTTTCAAGAGGAAACTGGATAAGAACCTAAAATAAAACAATGCAGAGCTACAGGAAGAGAACTCAGGTGAGGGTTAGCAGAATTGCAAAAAAGCTGGCATTGGTTCAACAGACTGAATAGCTTCCTTTTGTGCTGAAACTGTTCTATGGTTTATCTGTTCAATGATGGATGCTACACCCAATGCAAAAATAAATAAGTTATTACTGCTAATACTAGTCTCTTATTCATTTTTGTTCCAGAATGAAAATATTGCTTACCTTTCAAGTTTAGTAACTGATATGCAATACTGTTGTAAAGCTAAGAGCCTGAATTGAAGTCCACCTTAAAAATAAATGTAAAATTCATCAAAATACTAAGCTTTTAAATGAAAAGAAATCATATTTTAATATATGAATACAAGAACACAAAACATTGGAATTGCAAGTGGACATACAGCCCATCAATAAAATCACAGTTGATCCAATCTTGGCCTCAAATCCATTTTCCTCTTTGTTTCCAATTATCCTGGTCTCCCCTTTCACTCAAGAATCCCTCTGTCTTAAATGTACTAATTTAAGATGTAGCCACAGCTGTCACGTAGTGAATTCCAAAATACTACAACCAGAGGAAATGCCTCTTTAAATGGGTGACCCCTTATTCTGAAATTAGGCCACTTAGTCCTAGATTTCCCTATGCACCGAAACATCCTTTCAGCACCTACCCTGTCAGTCTTCCCCCCCCCCCCACCGTCATATGTGTTTTGATAAGATCACTTTTCATTCTTCTAAAAATGTCCAATAGATATAGGCCCGACCTGCTCAACATTTCCTCATAAAGCAACCCTTTCATCCAAGGACTCAAATCAGTGATACTTCTCTGACAGTCTTTAATGCAATTTATTTTATAAAAATTCATACAAAGGAGACAATAACTACAAGCAGCATGATATTAGTGCGAACTGGAGAAATGATGGAACTAATTGTGTGGCAAGACAAGTCAAAATTGTGGGCAGATTTTGAGAGTCTCTTGAAAACATGAAAAGTGATCAAAAGGATCATAACTGCATTGCATTTGTGTGCAGCGTAATTCATGATTGAATAAAGTTGCCAGTTAAATTAAACTGTAGCAGCTGAGCACAAGTTGGTAGCCTTCTCATCTCGGAGTCGGAGGTTAGTGGGTTCAAGTGACACTCCAGGACCTAAGCATAAATATACAGGTCAGACCTTCCACTGCACACTGATGGAGTTTTAGATCCAACAATGAAAAAGTGAAGCCCCATCTGCCCTCTCAGTTGGGCATAACAGATCCCAAGATATTATTTAAAGGAATAGCAAGGGAAGTTATTCCTGATGTCCTGACTAGTATTTATTTCTCAAACAATACTGAAAAAAATGATTGTCCAGTTAATAGCATATTTGTGAATGAGGCAGCTTACTGTGCGCACCATGGTTGTAGCATTTCTGACATTACAGGTAATTTACACACTTTTGAAATGCTGTCAATTACTTTGGGACAAACAGATTGTAAATGCTGGTATATAAATTACAGTTTTTAGTTCATAAATCATGCAAATTTTGACTTGTGCAAAAACAACTTAAACAGCAGCATCTACCTTGTGTTGCCTCCCTTCAGTCTGTTTCCAAGACCAGCTCATAACTAAGAGCGTGTACATTTCCTGTTGTTTGGCGTTGTCAACATTAAATATCCCCCAATTTCAAGTACTGTACTGCGGTATCATTCACAAACATGAGTCATGCGTGAAATTTAGTGTCAGCTCACTATTTCACCATGGAAACATTAGAGCAAATCAGATTGTGCCCATAAATGCAACCATGGAGGTATTGTAGCTATGTCCACGGGAGATCTGTACATTTCCAAATAGGGTTTACGAACATAAATCAGGACCCTGTCAATCTTTCAATGGCTAACTCATGGGAATGAACGGTAACGGTTTGATCTTTACAGCTGCCCCAATGAACGGAGTTATAGGAAGTAACGCTGAAATCAGGAAATCGAATTTGGAATCTTTCAGGTCGTATGGGCCAACCACTGATTCTCACCATTTATTTTAGAAGGTTACTGAGAAACAGTTCATCTCACATCTCAATTAAGCAAAGTCAACAATTTTGGATAGCAGACTTTACATGCAGGTGATTATAAAAGATCAACACATTTAAAAAAAAGAATAACAGTTTACTATTCCAGTGGGAATATCAGGCCAGTGGTCAAATGTTTCTGAGCATGCTTAAACTACAGTAAAACAACATGCCAAACATGCCCCCCCATGTAATATCCCATTATAATTGGTGTATGCCAGTCTTTTCACTGTGCATCTCATCTCTAATCGTTTTAACTGTAAAACTGAGTCGTGTTTGTTTACAGTATTACTCCCTCCAGTTGACTTAATGGTACAGAATAAATGCTACATAAATAAACTAGGCCATTAAAATTACCAATCTTACATCAGTACGGAACTGTCTCCATTATTGATGCCTATATTTACATATTTAACTGCGGAAGAAATGTCATTCTATAATTTGACCTTCCCCCTAGTAAGAGCTACGGTACCACCACTGGCAGAATTGTGTAATTACAAGACATTTTATAGTAAACAGGATGGTTTTGTAATTGTTATAAATTCCTAAAGACATAATGACTGACTTAAAGATAGGAACTGAGTTCCGTTTTTATCCTCCCGTCCGATCCCCACCGCCCGACCCCTCTTTCTCCCATGTTCAACCTGAAAAACACATTCAATAGAGAACATGTCCATCTCTAAATTTCACTGAAACTCGACTAATAACAACATATACGATCACCTCCAAACCCTGGTTTCAAGTAAAAAGTAAAAGTAACAGTTTTTGGAAGAAATATGCACTTAGCACAATATAACGCAGCAATTCTTTCAACCACTAGATAAACTGCTTTCACCCACTCAAGCATGACCTTTGGGGTATTGAATACTCAAAAAAAAATTAAATTTAGAAAGCTGCATCTCGGTCCAAGTATTTGTGTAAACACAAACTCTGCAAAAGCTGAAGCAAACCGGGACTGTAGTCGAAAATCTTGGAGCAGCCGGAGGACTGGGAAAGGTCAGTGAAGGGATGCAATGCCCTTTCTCTCTCTTCCTGCACTCGGTGCAATAACACAGCCGTACATGGGGAGCTGAAGCTGGTTTTTAAAGCTCCTCTTTCCACGTCATGCAGGCACTCATGTGATCGGATAGAGAAAGAGACCATAACAAGCCGGAAAAACATACACATCAGCAGCACTGCCAGCCTCCTCCCACTGCACTTGGGAGGCCAGTGGTAGTGCCCCTACCTCTGAGCAAGGGGATCACGGGTTCAATTCCCCAACCAGAGCTGCATCATAACATCTCGGAACAAGTTGGTTAGGAAAACAAGTTTCTTGAACTCGCTACACACAGCAGCCTGCCGGGGGAGGGGGAGCCCGACACTCGCGGTGTCAGCGGCAACAGCTGGGATGGTGCAGTGCCAGCTTTAGCCCGCCCCCTCCTCGGGGAAACTGAGCGGAGTATACTGGGCTCCGGCTGTCACCCGTGTTTACGGGAACGCCGGGGATGAGAGGGCTCGGATTTAAAGGGCCACTCCGTGGGGTCATCGAGATCGGGGGGGAGGTGGGTGGCTGGTGTAGGGGGTAGACATTGCAAGCAAAAGGCGGGGGGGGGTTGCTGCTCCTGCCCTGATACACACCCTTCTCCTCCAAGTGACAGACTATCGGTCACCCCCACCCCCTGGGTCCGCTCTGCTGGTGAAGCTTTGCCCCCCGCCCCCCATGCCCCCTTACCCTGGCGTGGAGAGGTTTTCAGCAGCACCCCCACGCCCTCTCTGTACGATGTGGGCGGCAGCGGCAGCGGCTGCTCCTTGCCCCCACGGAGGTTATTTCCCCCCCCTCCCACCCCAAAGCCAGTCCTCTCCTCCCAAAGCTGCAGCCCCGGCCTGTTTGTTGACGGATGTGACGTGCCGCCGAAGACGTTACATTGTTGCTAGGAGAGAAGGGGGCACGTGACGGCCGCCAGCCCCCGTCTCCATGGGAACAGACAAACGCTACACACCCTCGCCCCCCCCCCCCTCCCACGCGCTGAGCTGGCCTCCCTCAGTCCATCCATCAGTCACACAGCAACAGGTCATAGAACTGGGACTGACAGGTACCCCAGTCTCTGCCCTGTTGGCCAGCTCCCTCACAATGCCACTGACCACATCCCCTCCATTCTCTGCCCTTTCGTGAGGACTACTCCCCTCCCATGACACTATCATCCCCACTCCTCAGTCACCCTCCAACACGTCCTTCCCCGTGTAGTTCGCATTTTCCCATGTTATAGTCCGTCTGCTAAATTCTTTGCTCACTTAGCCTGCCTATATCCTTTTGTGGACCTCTCCGTTGACAACTTACTTTCCCACATATTTTGAAGACATTGGAAATATAGATCTTACACATTCTATCCCCTCATTCAAATTATTGATTTATATTGTACATAGGGGGTTGGTCAGCTCAGTTGCCTGAATGGATGGTTTACAATGCAGAGTGATGCCAACAGTGTGGGTTCAAATCACACACCAGTTATGGTTACCGAGAAGGACTCTCCTTCTCAACCTCTCCACTCATCTGAGATGTGGTGACCGTCAGCTTAAACCACCACCAGGTGTTTCTCTCTCTCTCTCTCTCCCTCTTTTTCTATCTCTCTCTAATGAGAGAGCAGCTGTATGGTCAGTAGAACTACAGCAACTTTATCTTTAGTTGAGGACTCAGCAATGGTCCCTGAGGCACTTCACTCATTACAGTTTGCCAACACATAACCTCACTTAATCCTACTCTCTGCTCCTGTTAGCTAATCAAAGCTAATATGCTACACCTATACCACGTGCTCTTATTTTGTTTAGCTACCCTTGATGTAGCACCTTATCAAATGCCTTTTACAAATCCAAGTAGAGAACATGCACTGGTTTCCCTCCATTTACCATTGACATTACTTCAGGAAAAACACTTTAATAGATTGGTAAAACATGATTTCCCCTTTCACAAAGATTCTCTCTGCCTGATCACTGTGATTTTCTAAGTGTTCTCCTTGGACATTGTTCACAATGGATCAAGCACCTTCCCTACAATTGATGTTAAGGCTCTTAGATCTATAGTTTGCTGCTTTCTGTGACCCTCTTTCCCCCAAAATACTATTGCCTTTGAGGTCCTGCTTTTAATTTAGTCCCTCGCTGTTCACACTCATCAGAACCTCTTTCCAAGTTCTACCTATATTATTGATGTCTATGGGGATCTTGACCAGTGGATCCTTCCACTCCCAGTGAAAGATTCCCTTTAGTCCCAAATCCTGGCACCTTTCTATGTAACAGCAGAAGATGTAACACTTATCTTTCTACTTCCTCCCTTCCAAGTTGCCTGCAGCTCTCCACCTTCTCAAGGCAACTAACAATGAGGAATAAATGCTGGCCCAGGCAGTGACACCCACATTCCACATGAATAAATAAAATGCGAAACAATGATTGCCTTGTAATTTATCTAATGTAACACATTGAAAGTGCTGTTCAAGATGTCCTGTGCTCTACACTGGGAAGACTGAATGTAGACTTGTGACCGCATTGCAGAACACCTCTTCAATCTGCGAGCATGACCTGGATTTCCTGTCATTTGTTAGTTCAATTCTTCATGTTGCTTCAAGTCTGATCTTTCTGTCCATGGCCAAATACGACTTTCCAAAGAAGCACAATACTAACTCAGAGAAAAACATCTCAGCTTTCATCTGTCATTTCTCAGTATTCTGGTCTCAATACTGAGTTCAATAACATTAGAACACGAGCTCTGCCTCCAACTTGTTCCTTGTGCTTTATTTTGCTGGTTTGTTTCATTATTTATACTGATATATTATATTCAGATGGTTACTATATAGCCATTCATACTTAATCTCCTAACCTGAACATGACCTTTCTCTATTTATAATGCCCATTATCATTTTCTTTAGATTTTGAACACAAAATCTTTTGTTTGTTAATCTCCCATCCCTAACACAAACCCTAGTTTTTATTCTTCCAGCCTCCTCTCCCACTTCTACTGGCTTTGAAACTTTCCATTTCTTCTCAGTTCTGATAAAGGTCATGGACTCAAAATATTAAATCTGTTTCTCTCAACAGATGCTGGCTGACCCACGGAGTACTTTCAATAATTTTTATTCACACTTGGTCAAGAAATGCACATTGAATTCTAACAAAACACAAACTATGAGTGGAACTGTACAAATTGCACCATGCATATAGGAAAGTAACATTCTGGGTTTTGTCGATGCTCAGTGGACATAAACTTCCAGAAGACTCATGTTATATTTTGACAAATTCATGTTAAATTAATTCAAAAGTTTATTTGGCAAAGATGTCTACTTCACCCCACCCTTTTGTGATATTGAGATTCAAAAGTTATACATTACATGGGCTGTATTACTAACAATAGAAGCTTACACACTGTTCGCTCAACAGAGGTATTTTGTTTTATTTACTTGTCCCTCACAGCTGGAGGAATGTTACTGTATCTCTGGTGGTGCTAAGCTGATAGTAATGCGTATAGTTCTTCTAAAAGTACTGGAGCCAGCTTTGTTTCATGGCCCTTGTAGGCATATCAACATGCTTTCAGTTATGTATAATCTATCCATTAGCTTATTTTTATTTGTTCATGGGGTATGGGCTTTTCTGGCTGACCAGCATTTATTACCCATCTATAATTGTTCATTAGAGCTGCCTTTTTGAACTGCAGTTGTCCATGTAGGCTAAGTACACCCACTATGCTGTTAGGAAGGGTATTCCTGATTTTGACCCAACAACAGTGAAGGAATGGAGATTTAGTTCCAAAACAGAATAATGTGTTGCTTGTAGGGGATTTTGCAGGTGGGGTTGTTCCCATGTATCTCTTGCTATTGTGCTTATTTATGGTAGAATTCACAAGTTAAGAAGATGATGTCAAATGAGCCTTGTTACTTCAGTGGAATTTGTAGATTGTGCATAATGTTGGCATGACATATTGATGGCAAAGACAGAGAGAATGTTGATGGTAACAGTGCCTATCAAGTGGGCTGCTATGTCCTAGGTGGTGTCAAGGTTCTTGAGTTGGAGCTGCATCTACTAAGTCAAGTGGAGAGTATTCCATTAAGCTGCTGACAGGTATCGGGCAGACAGGAGGTGAGTTGCTTGCCCGACTTGAATCATCTGAAGATAGTTGGACCTAGGACATTGCCCTAAGGAATTCTCACATCAATATCCTGGCACTGAGACTGGCCTCCAAGAACCACAACCACCTTCCTTTGTGCTAGAGAGCTTTCCCCCTGATTCCCATTGACTCCAGTTTTCGCAGAGCTTCTTGATGACACACTCAGGCAACTGTGACCTTGATGTTAAGGACTGTCATTCTTACCTCATCTAGGGAGTTCAGCTCTTTTGTCTATGTTTGGACAAAAGCTGTAACAAGGTCAGGAGCTGAATGACTCTTGCAGAACCCAAACAGGCAAGTATTATTCATAATGCAAAAGTGACTGCCAAGGACCATCTCTGAGAGAATCTAACCATCTCTCTCTTGAAATTCAATGGTATTACCATCACTGAATCCCACAGCTATCAACATCTTGATGGTTGCCAATGACCAAAAATTGAACTGGACTAACCGCATAAATACAGTGGCTACAACAGCAGGTGTGAGGCTTGGAAATCTTCAGTGAGTAATACCCCTCCTGACTCACCAAAGTCTGCCACCATCTATAAGGCACAAGTCATGAGAGGAATGGAATACTTCCCACTTGCCTGAATGAGCGCAGCTCCAACAACATTCTAGAATCTTGACAACTTCCAGGATAAAACCTCCCACTTGATTGGCACTCCATTGAATAACTTCATCACCAATGCACAGCGACAGTGGTTTGTATTATCTACAAATATTCAGCAATGCTCTCTCAACATTAATGATTTAGATGTGGGAAATAGATGTATTAACTCTAATTTGCAGGTCCCCTACTTCTAAACTCCCCCTACCATCAGGAACAGCCTTCCTACATCTAAACTGCCTATTCAGTTAGAATTTTATAAGTTTCTATGAGATCCCCCCTCATTTTTCTAAACTCCAGTGAATACAATCCTAACCAACTTAATCTCTCCTTATAAATCTGTCCTGCCAACCACGTATCAATTTGGTAAACCTTTGCTGCATTCCCTCTATAGAAAGAACATCCTTCATCAGATAAGGAGCAGCAA